TACAATATATCCATGCGTTCATGTGGCTTGCAACAAGAGATTCGTGTGCGGAGTAAATGAACACCAATGACCATGAGACATTACGGAAATACCCAAAGAGCTCATCTTAAATGTACAAGTACTCCAGTGGAATATATAAACGTATTTTTGCGATTTTTATCTTAATTTCAACAATTTAAAATCCTCTTGTACAACTATGAACAGACGTCCTTCCAAGAAAATGTAAAAGTTAAGCTAACATGCGGAAGACTGATAACGGTTCCACAATAAACTATGAGGATAATTTTAGTGATTCGTGACTTGAAGAAATCACATCATCCTGTGCTGTTTAACCTTTAAGAATACGACATTGACCCAAAAAGCAATGTCTTACAATTTATGTGACTGGAACTATTCTGTATTCCTGTTCGACTTACAAGAAACGGACATGCAACAGAGTTAATGCAAGTGTTATAATATCCTAAGTGTGAATTCATCCAGTTACGTCCCATAAGCAAGGAACTATATTATACCCAGCTATTAAAAATTTACGCAAGCCGGGATAGCTCAGCCGGTATAGCGACTGACTACGGGCTGGACAACCGAGGGGTCGGAGTTCGAGTCCCGGTGGAGGAAATAATTTTCTCTTCTCCACGACGTCCAGACGGCTCTGGGGTCCACCCAACCTCCTATCAAATGGGTACCAGGGTTTCTTTCCACGGGAGTAAAGCGGCAAAAGCGTGAAGCTGACCACTCACCTTCAGCTAATACCGAGGTCAAGAAAATGTGGATCTATACATCCACTCCCCCATACGCCTTCATGGCGTAGTGCTTAATTAGTTAAACACAGGGACAACTTTACATTTTATTTTACTAAAATTTACAGTAATCTAAATATGTGAGAATATAATAAGAGAGACGATTGCTTTACGAAAAAAATTGAAGGTAGAACACAACTAGGAAGACCTAGATGAAGATGGGCAGATAATATTAAGATGGATCTTGAATAAATAGAATAGGAGAGCGTGCAGTAAATTCGTCTCAATCAGAACTGGTACGAGAGGCGGGCTAGAGAGGATGTTACGAATGGACTATAAGAGCAAGTGTTCATTTGAAAATAAAAAAAAAAAAATACCTGTCGCGGTTCTCAAGAGGCTCGGCGCCAAGACGAATTGAGAGACTGTAAACCGCCAGTCTTAAAGTGACTCTGACTTTGACTCTGTCTTTAAGGCAGTCGAAAATGCGACACAGTTGTAGCCATGTGCTAGATGACAGTCGCCAGCAGGTAACCACTTGAGCAAAAGAGGACATTGTTAGGATCCGTTACCAGGCAACCATGACTGGTCAAGACACTGCAGATTGTCAAGAATTAGCGTGTGCTACAGCGATCTGTAAAGTGTGAAGACTCTTGAATCTGTTATAATTACTTTTAACTTAGATTTATAAGCGTTAAATAAATCGAGTTACCAACCCAAACGCCGTGACTAGTCGGTAAATACTTGATAAAACTATCAGCACTCACAAAAGGGACATACACTGGAAGGAAAGACTGCATGCTCGTTCTTGTACATAACATGTGATCACGAAATATATTGAAGGTAGGCAGTTCGGGTACATGGTTGCCTGAAATTCTGTACTGAAAGTGGCAAATCATAAGGTTCAAAACTATATACGTAAGCACATTAATCTCGCCTTTATCATCCTGTGTCACCAAGCGGTTTGATCAAATGTCTGGTTGGCTCCGCCATGGCTCAATCGGTTAGTCGCTGGCTTCCCACTGCGGCGGCCCGGGTTCGATCCCGGGTCTGGTCAAGTGGGATTTGTGGTGGACAAAGTGGCGCTGGGGCGGGTTTTCTCCAAGTACTTCGGTTTCTCCTACCAATCTTCAGTCCACTAAATTCTCCGTCATCATAATCACCCTGGCAGCTACAATAGGCCAATCAGTGGCCACCGTGCCGAGTGGACCCAGTAGGACTCCAACCACAACTAAGCAAATTTAAAAAGTAAGTGTCTGGTTTGACTGCGATATACAAAACTGGACCGAGTCAAGGAACTAGGCACTATGAAGAATACTTACTGTCTCCATCTTCAGGGTTGAAAAGCCACTAAAGTAAACAGCAAGCAGCAGGAGACAAATCAAGCTAATTACTGTCCACTTAATCTTATCTCATGGGCTCTGCCTGGCTTGCACTTTCAGAGGACTGTAAAAGTGATAATTAGAAACGATGTGCTGAAGTTCATAAAAAGGGGGAAAATTAATAATGTTACAAAGTTAAGATAAAATTTATTTTCTTCGGGATTTTGAGCCGTACAGTCTGATAATGTTTACGTTCTTCCATACATCCCAGATCGCAGGAACCTTGAGACTCATCATCAGAAATTCGTTTCTTTACCCAATACTGGCTACTGCACATCATATTTTATGAATAGTAAATATGTATTTTATATGACTGTCGGTTCTCGCAGCGGTGGTTCTGAAGGGTTCTACCCTCTGACATATTTTTCAATCCTGAAGACGGAGGCGATATATCCCTCTGTAAAGTCGATTGACCTTCAACTGGCTACACGGCTTTATATCCCAGAAGATGAAAATTTTGAGTAAATATTTTGTTTTGCACCAATAAAATTATTCAAAAACTTCGAGGCAGTAGAACGGAACATAAAACCCGAAATTCCAGTCATTTCGCCATTTTGTATCATAAAGCCATTGTAAGAACATGGAGACCGCTTCAAACTTGCATTCGAGAAGTGACTGATTCGAATCTCTTTCGGGAATCAGACAGACTATCTTGTTATTGAAAGGCCTCGTCATAGCTCAAGCGGTTAGTAGCTGGCTTCCCACCGCGGCGGCCAGGGTTCTATCCCAGGTCCGGTCAAGTGGGAATTGTGGTAGAGAAAGTGGCGCTGGTGCGGGTTTTCTCCGAGTATTTCGATTATTCCACCAAATTCTCCATCATCATAATCACCCAGGGCAGGCTACAATAGGCCAATCAGTGACAGCCGTGCCGAGTGGACCCAGTTGGACTCCACCTCCCACTAAGCGAATCTTGTTATTGTCGTAACTTCCTTCAAACCTGCCACTGAAATTAGCGGGTAAAAAATTGAGCCTAAAATTGAGCTTTGACCACTTCCTTTGTCATACTTTCAAAATCATCATCATCAAATCATTCTAACATTAGATAGTAAAAGCTTACAGTCTGTGCTGCTGGGAGAATACTTATATAAACCATAAACAAGAACATCTGTGATTAAGGAAGAGCATTGGACAAGAATTACATGACGAATTACTAACAAACTCTGTTACCATATCCTTTTCCGCGCGATCTTGCTTATGTGTCTCAACCATAAACCTGGTCCTGAGACACAGCACAGAAAACGTTCACCTCAGGAGAATCTCTTTCGTGCTCAGCTGTTTCATGTGGGTGCTGTGTTCCCCAAATACGCACATTGTGACGACTGACTATGCCGCTCAAGTGAAAAGTCGCTTCATCACTAAAAATTAAACGTGAAATGAAGGTTTCGTCTTCCATCATCTCCAGCATCGAATCGCAAAATTCCATCCGCTTCCTTTTGTCGTCATTGGTAAGTGCCTGAACGAGCTGCAGTCTGTATGGTTTCAAATGTAGACGTACTGTTAGCACACGCCAGACAGTGGATTGAGGGATCGCAAGCTCACGGCTAGCTCGATTTGTTGACTTCCGCGGGCTCCTCTCAAACGCAGCACGGATTCTCGCCACTTGTTCCTCCGAGACTCGTGGTCGTCCTGGACTTTTTCCTTTACACAGACACCCACTCTCTTGAAACTGTCGAAACCACCGTCGAATGTTCTTAGGACAGGGCGGATTAATGCCGAATCGCCTTCGAAAAGCACGCTGCACCGTGACAACCGAATTTGTTTTCGCGAACTCAAGAACGCAGAACGCCTTTTGCTGAGGACTCGCCATTCCGAGGGTAAACGAACAACTGAACGTTGCCGGAAGAACGATGCGACTTCAGCGCTCCAGTGGCAGCCATTCATAACTTAGATAACTCCTCTTTCAAATGGTCACTGACTCATTCCATGACGATGCTTGGGAACTGAAGCAATGCGTCATGAAATCAGTTCATTCTTTTTTAATAACCCTGTATAGGAGGCTGGGTGGGCCCCCAGA